TATTTTTAACTATTTTCTCTTTTGGCAGGTCGACCTTTGAAGTGCTTGTGAGGGCTGTTTCCGTGCATGATTAATTGTGCTTTTCGACAAGTTTTCTTTTTGTTGAATATGATCATTGAATATTGTTTTTTTCTCTGGTTTGAATAACGCTAAACGATATTCAAAAGATAAATATTCGTAAGCTCCAACCTGAAGTAGCTGTAGTCATGTAAAAGTAACGTTTAACTCTTCTGATTATCTGAGAACAAGAGCAAGGAGTGGTCGTATCTAAGAACAAGTGACAATTTTGCACCAAACAAATACTAGTTGCTAAAGGAATTTACTTTAAAACCTTAACAAGAAAAGTTTTACACTCGTCTAAAACAGGTAATAAAACATGTGCCTAATAATTGGTTTCCGCTCACGAACAAATGATATTTACATGATCAAGTTAAACAAGCCGTATCATAATTATGGACTTTGGCATCTAAGCCATTACTTTCTTATCTGAAAACACTCTGCTTATACTTTATGTTGTTTATTTATCTCTCTCGATTAGGATTATCGTGTAAAATAGCGCTTCGTGAGTAGCCGTCATTTGTAACTTTCTCATTGTAACTTTGTCATGTTTTAATTGCCGTGTTATCGTGCAGGTATCTGATACACAAACTGTGCCTTTTAGAACCAAAGAGGTTAAAAAAAACCTTTGAAAAACAACTCTGACCTGAAGTGCAACACAGGAGAGATGCTAAGCGTGACGAAATTTGACGGTCTTTCAAGTCAACAACAGCGGGCGATTTTTCTTGAGAGTAAACTAAAACATTTTACGTCATAAATCGAGAACAAAGCTGTTACAGAACCCCAAGAACTAGAGCAAACTATGTCAGTGGTATTTTTAACAGCGAATGTTGATTCGTTCCCTTATCTCCGCTCAATCCAACAATAGAGAAATTTGCATATGTCTTTGGTAATCAGTCAGCTGTGCGAGGTTTTAAGATTGCAATAGACCTCTATCTCAAAGTTGTATTGATACATGAATTGCACTAGAACGTGAAAATTGCGATTATTTATTATTATTCTCTTTTGAAGGGAAAGTATAACGAAATTAGAAGGAACGCACAGCAGAGAGAATGCATGGTCATTCCCAACGAAAGGGATACAACTATGAACAGAACGCAGCTCTTCTCGTTTTCAAGCTGAAAAATAAACATGTGGGATAGGCGGATTAGTTTTCAATTATCAAGTGATCGGCCAAAATTAGCACGGAAATAAAGAAGTACCAAGAAGAAAGATTTATAATGGCAGAAATAGAGCTGAGAACAGAAAAAATGTCTTTAAATATGGAATGCTTTTCGAGTTCGTTTGGATACCTGTAGGAAAGATTAATTACCAAGCCTTTGATCTGAACTTTCAGCATACACATCCCTAAATCTTCAAAACTTTTCTGAACCGATCCGGATGCCTTGTAGTGATCCTAGCTCTCCAGTTCCCTGACCTAATATACCTCTACGCTTTCGAGAGCATTTCGCATTAGGGTTTAGCATTAAACACAATCCCAATACTTGATTCGACTATTTCCAATACTTAAGGATCAAAATTTTAGTAGCTATCTTGGTATTATTCATCCGATGTCATTTTTCATTTGATATTAATAAAAAGACAGCCCTTTATTCGTTTCGGTAAAAATGTACGGATGTCATTGGTCCTTAACAGCCAACGTTCTCGCCCAGAAACTAGTCGCCTAATTTTTTCTGAGAATTATGCTCCGCCTGGCAGAATTGCAATGAAAATTACAAATGTAGGTGTTGATGGAGGATAGCTTTCTTTTCAGAAAAATGGGGGAAAGGATATCTAAATAGCGATGATAATGATGACACTAGTATTAGTAACAAAGGAATTCTACACTGTCTTTCAATTTTGAAATTTAATGACAATATTCATATCATTATATTCATGTAAGTAATGGAAGTAATAAAGGTAACATGAAAAATATTCCGTTAACACCATTATTGTTTGAACAAATTAATACGAATATTTGATACAATTGAGGATTTGTATGTAAATATATTCCAAAAGGATGACCGTTGCCTGACGGTTCCTACAATGATTAAAATAAACAGGTACAGGGTTTGTGAAAAGTCCCAATAAACACTATAGCTGAGGAAAACCAAATCATACGTATATGCCCTCAAAGCGATGCCGTGGTTTGGAGTTTGTAAGACGCCTGAGAGAAGTCGTGCCTTTTGGCCTCTGGAGACTGATTCTTTAGACTGGGCGTGGTCAGGGTATCCCAACGCTGTTGACGAAAATGAATGAAATGCATGAATTAGTTAGATGATGTAAGAGATCATGAAAAGAAATGATCCTCGCAGAAGTGTTGGAGTTTTAGCCATTGCAGGATAAGCCTAAAAAGATTCAGGCTCCGAAGGGACCCGTGTCTCCCAGATTATTGTTGGTCACCACTATGTACCAACTGAGCAACGAAGCCATTGGTTGGGAGTGACGTAAATTCTATAGGATTCTTATTTTCCGTGAGGAGAAGTCGATGTAAAGATTTTTGTCATCACTCGCGACTAAGTATGCTTACGTATAGCGAGTAAAATTATTAGAAGACTCGTCATGTCCTCGAAATACTTGGATCTCAACCGGTAAGTCAAGACTACGTCTGTGGGAACGTACAGTTGATCTCATCATCGTTTAATTCTGGGTTAAGGAGAGCTGGAGACACAAGTGTCTTGTCAATGAATACAGTAACTGGCCAGAGCTGGAATGCTGACCGGTGTGGACTCTGCAACAAAGCCCGAGCCCTGACCTCAGCAACTTTCAAGTATAGCCGGTCGAACTATTGTGAGACGAGCACATTACTTTCCAATGCAACCGTTAAGGTTCCTCCAATATATGCAAGACATATTCACAATGCCTTGCTTACATTGGAGATAAAATATACAGACACATAATTTTATGATTGTACTAGGTGTGTACAAAGGAAAATGAGGAATCTTAGTTTGAATTGAAACGTTTTCATCTAAAACTCATGAAAATCAACTGCCGACGTTTCAATCACTAGTTTTTCATTCGCACATCGTATTTGAGGTTAGAACATTTTTTTCTCAAACATGGTATCAGTAACACATTCTCCCCTTAAAGGTTAGCGAACACTAATGTGGTAGTTACTTCTCTTAGAGAGCCTGGTGTTGTGGCCAACTTGTATATCATCACAATTGGAATGCACACGATTGAAGACAAAGCCATGATCCAGCCTATGGTTTCTCCCCAGTCAGGGTACTTGTAACCGTTGTATTCTAGAGGCGAGTACGTCACTAGACTGAAAATGAAGACACCCTGTGGACAAAAGAGATGATATCCTTAAGGTGACTCATTCTGGCCAAGGCTCAAGCCAGACTCTCTTGACCCAGATGCCATTGTGTTAAACGTAACGGCAAATTAACATTTATCTAATAAAGTCACTGCTTTTCCCCCTCTCTATTACGTCTCTTAATGAAACTGAGAACAATTCTGAGACTGATAAATAAATATTTTGTCTTACCAAACAGAAAATAGGTGTGAATATCATCCAGCACCACCTGAGCCACGGGTTAATTCGAAATCCAATCATATTCTCCATATCGTCATAGAAACGTTCACCACCTATCGGAAAACCAATGAAATTGGGTCGGTTCATACAAGATACTGAGACAATGGGAAACGCGCACGTGATCGAAGGAAATGTGGACTGTGGAATCGCACTGCCTCCTAATTTATCGTAACGTTTATTGGAGGTTAAAACTCCTTTAGACGGTTGGTCAAAGCATATTCAAAACGTTTTCATAAAGACCACTTTAGTAAATTCAGGCGTATAAACAGAACCTCCGTCCCCACTCCTGGTTGCAACTATTATCTTCTTACCGTAGATCCAACCAATGGCAATACTTTGGAACAAGGCGATCCACAAAAGAGCAGAGCCACTGGCCGAGTAATTGTCAAATAGTTGAAAGACGTACATTCCACCCTGAGAAATAAAGAAAAACATCAACATTTAATGAAAATCGTGGGCTGCAATTCCACAAAGGTATGAAGAGAAGTGAATAAGACATTATAATCTATCATATGATCAAGCTCCCTGACGCTTTCTCCGTTGCTCGTCTGTTAAAAATGTAAAACCAGAGCTTATATCTATTTTTGCCGATTGCGGTTGTCGTGTCATGGTTAAAAAGTCGCACTTTTCTTTGTTTCATGTTGGAGACATATGCTCAATATTTTTTAATTGTATGTAACTGTATAAAAATACATATCCCTTTAAAACTAGCGGAAATGTGGTCGTAAAACATATTCCATTCCTGCAGAAAAATACTTCGTAAGTTAGCGCTTTTACAGAAAAAATCATTTACTGTTACGTTCTATGATCTTTTATTATTTTGTTTTTTTGGCAAATTATCAATCTCATGAAAGAAATTTAAATGAAGTAAAAACTCTGTGGAGGCTTTTGATCGGGGCTTAACCAGGAATTTGATATAAAAAGTAGAGTTACTTTCCGAAGAGCTTGTTGAGGCCCTCATTAAGGACCTTAAGTAGTCAGGACGGGAAAGCAGAGGAAGACGTGAATTTAGGAAACTTATTCTTATTTGTGGTGAGAATTTCACGAATGACTGGACGTGTTTACCATCACTTACGTTGCCACCCAAACTTACGCTTAACGCATGTGAGCATGGTTGAGTTAAAAATGGAAACATAAATGATCTGCCGTCAGAGTTTATCACGCAAAATTTGGTAATTTCGCGGTGTTTTTTTGCCTCCTCGTTGCTGTCGTCGTGGTTTGCTTAAGCGAGAGTTTCTTCGCCTGCTAGAGGCTTTCAGAAACGAAAACCAGCAAGAAGTGTGCACCGAGTGTAGGTCTCATTATTAGTGCCACTCAGATCCCCGGCACCGATCCCAGAGATAAACCTCCCGTCGACTCGACCTAAATCTTTTTGCAGGAGGAGAAAAAAGCGTCCTGCAGGGCTAATAATAAGGACATGCTTGTAATCTAGTTCCACGAGGTTATAACACAAGATCTCTACGTTTTTCTTTTATGCTTTTGAAGGTACCTTAGTAACCATGGACAGACCAATGAGAAACCAGATACAGCACATAAATGCGATGAACATCTCTTTACGATAACCACGCCTTAAGTGTCTGGGGAACAGGTCCACAATGGCTGTTACAAATCCCTCAATGCCTACAAACTTGGAATAAGACAAACATTAGAGTTCATTATCATAATATGCGCCTTTGTGTTTTCTGCAATGTCAATGCACATACTTGTAAAACACACAAGATATCCAGAATAAAGTTTGATAAACTGCAAATTCGCTCTAATACCTCGCTGTCGAGTCCCAGCAAGAAGACCATAAAGAAAAACAGAACCGACCATAGAGGGGCCAAAGGCATCTGAGCAACGGCCTCTGGATAAGCGATGAATGCAAGTCCTGGACCTA